AAATAGGATTCCATGTAAGCCTACCTATATATTGAACCTAACCAAAAAAATTAAAACCAAATAGAGGTACATAGTTATTTTTAATAGATATTTCAACTTTTTAAGTTCAAATTTGGATATTATTTAGATTTAAAAAAACGGTTTTAGTTGTTTTTTTGTAATTAAGAGTTATTCTTGGCCCTTGGGTAATTGAAAATTTTAAAATATTATGTACACTCGATGACATTATTGATATTTACAAATGTAAATTTTTGCAAAAATGTAACTATACTGTAGTGCCTACCTATTAATGCCTAATAGTAAAATAAAATATTAATTTAATCACAATAATTAACTTTATATAGTAATATAGTATATACCAACACACGTTTTCCCAATAAAATAATTTTTTTWAATTTTTTCACATTGGTGTCAAGTAATCACACATATTATCATTATAATGTTATATTATAATTTAATATAATTTAAATAATATTGTTTATGAATACATGTGTATTGTGTATAGTACCTATGTAGATTTATGATATTACCACGGTAATATCACGTGTGACCTTAAACATATTACGATGATTAGGGAGGTACATTTCTAAGGCAACATACACGTGACCAAGTAATATCTCATCATGCCTTCATGAAACACATATTACGGTCAAGCATATTATATTTCACAATGTTTCATTACTAATAAAATTTTAAAATAAAAGTTTATTGTAAACCTTAATATAATATATAACTTGTAAATATACATTTGTGTCATATTTTATTTATTATTATAAATTCTGTCTGTTGTAATAATAAATTGATTTTTAGTTTTTATAAGCAAAACTCTTGTTGCATTATACCTGTTAAATGTTTTTTATCAAGGTCCATGATTTATCTTTATTAATTAGAATAGTAAGAATAGTTCAGCTTTATTTAGGAAATAATTAAAAATTGGTCAATCTGCAGTGATTAATTGAAATATTTTATTTCATAAATTATTACCACTAACGTGTGCAATACAATAATACATATATACATAAAACTTTGTAGACAGCCAGACAGGTGCCATAATAAGTCTATATACCTATGAGCTTTGTTCAAAGATCTATGACACATTGTATATTTTATATATAGACATAGAACAATACGCTTGACCTGCATATGTTGTTTCTTTCTTACAAAATGTTCAACATACCAAAAACGTTTGACGTGGGACAACTATCCTCGCTCCATATTTACAGTAGAATTATCAAAATTCTACAACGCATAGAAAAGAACTTTATCTGTGTCACAGCGTTTTAATTTTTTTGATAGCACAACATTTTTTAATAATTAAATGAAAAACTGTTAACATTGATTGTATTTTTATTCTATATTACTCAAATAATAAAAAYGCTATGGCAGATAAAATTCTTCCTTGTGCGTTCTTAAATGTTGGTAATTTTACTATAAATACGGAGAGAGTAGTGTTAAAACTATTCGAAATAGTGATTCCTTAATTTTGATTGTTAAAAAATAGTATCTGTTAGTTTGATGGCTATACATAWTACATATTYTGTATATTAGGTATATATRATTTCACAACCACAATATTGCATAGTAAGAAAATGTAAATGTTTTACTTACTTAGTACCTACTTTTATAACTTATAACATACACTCTTCTGCTTTAGCTTATTGAAATGTATAAAATTTGTTCATGTGTTGTAGACTTGAATAATGGATTACTGGATTACTTTAATTAAAATAAATGGTCCGGGTTATAAATCCGCATCTTTCCGTATATTTAATATATAATATATATATATATATATTTTTTTTTTGGCACAATTTATTTGGAGGAAAAATACTTATACGCCTTACTTGTAAGTCTTATTCATATAAATATTTTATAAAAATTAATTTTCCATTATATTTACATTATACAACACTTCCGTATTCGTGTATAGACTACATAGAACTTTACTGTCTAATACAAAAGTTATGACAATATAATATACTTATAAATTAGTTACAAAATACGTATTGTTCGTTATAATGTGAAAGTCTTGGTCTTCGAGTACTMGGTGTGATAAATTAGAAAACTTAAGTAGATATGTATGCCTATAATGGCTAATATATAAAAATAATGTTATCGTTGTACATAGGTAGGTATATATAGTTTGACAAACATAAAATACAACGAATTGATATCGATCAAATTTAAATATAACTATATATGTATATAGGGTTAATTAAAACATTAAAACAAAAAAAAACGACAATAAAGTAGTAGCACCGGCCATCATCTTAGCAGCTAGTGACTAGAGAGCCTCYTCCGGAGCGCGAAATACGTGAGAAACCTGTACAGCAAAAGCATAATGACCAACTTGATGATCTCGAAGTATGGATGTTTCCTGTCCACGTTCAGGTAGTAAATTATGATGTTTGGGTCTTTGAAATGGCAGTAGCCCGTGTCGCAGTACAAAGGTTCCCTGTTCAATCCAAACACGGTGATGACCAGCCCGATGACTCCACACCGCAAGAAGCTGGCTTGCATTACGAATTCCATGATCCACGGCACCTGGTGYGCGAAGTCGAATCCATAAATGGCCAGTCCCAAAAACGGTGCTATCATCATTGGGCCGACCGCGCTGCCGTTCTGTAAGAATTAAGTTTTTATATAAATTATATTAGATACTATTATTTATTATTATGCTTTAATAAATTATATTATATCGCAAGCCACGTTAACAAGAATGTCTTCTGTCAATTGTTATTTAAACTAATTTATTATTTATTATTATGCTTGATTATATTATTAATTAGTTTTAATATTGATGTAATATAGTTTTCAAAATATCCCATCTATTATTATAATACGGTAGGTAGGTATCTTCTGAAAAAAATCTTCTAATTAGTTTTTATCATAAAAATATTCAACTTTTATATTTTTTTTTTGTCTTACATTGCAGTATACATGAAAAATGAAAGACGAAAGTCAATATATATAGGTATCTTCAGAAATAAATCGTCTTATTTGTTTTCTAAGATGAACTTAATAACAGGATGAATTCAAGTTTTTCACTTTTTAATTTAGGTAATTTCGTTATTACAAAACAACATTTTTAAAAAGCTACTATTTTTTTTTATAATTTTTTTATTTGTATCAATATATATTTTTTTAAAATTGTACTTATTTGAATACGCTGTAATTAGTGTAATTTATAAGTTGTATAGTGCGAAAGATCCCAATAAAGGCATTCGATAAATTTCCACTATTTTACCTATCTAAACTTTAAATACATATTTTGTAACTATGATTAACTGCGAAGATGTTCGTTTAAAATTCGACTTTTAAGGAATAACGACTATAACGTACTTATTGAAATTTCCAGTAAAATATTTTGCTTTAGAATATGAAATTAAAAAATATTTTCGTTTAAAGCGAAGATAACTTAAAAATGTTTGACGATTAAAAAATAGATTCAGCATATATTATTATACTTATATACGAGGTAGTTCAATACTTATACAATATACCAGATACCTATGTTATATACAACTACTTTAATAGTATTTACTAATTGTATACAACATMTAATTATACATAACATATTGTAATATAGTTACGATAATAATAGGTATACAATACTACACACAAACACGTATTAATATACCTATGTAATTATGTATTGTGTATAATACTATGTGTATAATCCAACGTGTCACTGCAACATAGTGCACACCATATAATATTTATTTGTATTTTCGGATAATTGCTTCACTTTCTATAGAAAGAATTGAATTATTTGTTTTTGGTTTACGATTACATATGATTTTTTTTTCTTTCATAACAATACATACCGTTACATTGAAAATAGAACCCACAAGCAGTCCCATACCCTCGGAGACGAAACAAACCAGCAGACATATGATATTAAACATCGAAAACCGCAAGAGTTCGTACGGTAGCCCGGACATGAAATATACCAAAGTCGTATAAATACTGCTAAAAAATATCTAAACAGAAAAAAAAAACAAATATCATGTAGTTATTGGACTTCTATGATGACTTAACACGTACGTTAAATGTATACACATCGCCGTTCAAACAGCGCGCTATGTGCAAATTAACTATTTTAGTGACTTAAAATATGAACGACCCCGCTAAAGTATATAAATTGTCAAACTGATGGATCATCAAACGTATAGTCATTACGAGCGTCATGAAAACATTTTTTTTTTATTCAATTAAGTAATTATGTTATTATAATATTATACTCACAATACATGGTGCTCTTGATAACTGTAGAGCCAAGAAATACGGCCTCAAGCTATACCATCTGTTGAAGTATTCTTGTTTTAGCAGTTTCACTTCGGACGGAACTACAAAAATAATGTAACAATGATAATCGCAAACATGAACATAATATTATGATCTTATAGATATACATAGTATTAGTGGATGTATGCCATACACCCACTTGGTTTTTTTTCAAAATATCGTAATTATTGCAGACAAATTTTAATTTTAATTATTATAATATAATTAATGATAATTATAGTTTTCATGAAAAACGCAAGACTACTGAACTAAATAATCTATTAGCTACCATGTAACCCATACGGCTTAAATAAAAAATAATTGTTACCGTCGAGACTTATTTATATACTGTCTTATTTAATATTTTTGTAATTGTTTCAATATTTTATTTTATGAAAAACAACTTAACAGGTATTATTCAA